GCGGGCTTATATCATTCTGCAAATCACACGCCAGTGCTCGGCTGGCTCTTCCCACCTTACCTTAATGGAAAGGGCACACTGCGTGGAAGCTGGACGGGCTGGGTCTGAATCCCATCCAGGTCCCCGTGAGACACTCGGTAAGCATCGTCACACCCTGCCTTTGTTTTTCTGCCTGTAAAATGGAGCATATAGCATTACAGGTAACCCAGCCAAGGAGCACACAGGAGTCATCATGGTTCTAGCTTTATGCATTCATTCCCACCTATCTAATGCGCACTTTCCCGTGCCACGTCCTGCACTGGCTACTGAGAACAGAGTGGCAAACAAGGCAGGTGTGTCCCTACCATCCTGCAGCCTGCGGCCTGAAGGGAAGACGAGCTCACAGAGGTGGGCCTCAGCCTCTGGAACGCAAAGGTTCAGGAAATTAGAGCTTTCCTCGTTCCTGCACAGCAGAATTCAGCCTCTGTTCTGAAGATCCATTCTGCCCGGGGCCAAAAACTTAATCTCAGTCATTTTCTCCAAGGTTGTGTGATTTCAGCAAAGAGTTCTGATGCTCTTGGGGGTGGTAGACAAAGAACCTCGCCATTGGTGTCACCATCTGTCCACACTGCCGCCCTCCCACGGACTGTAGTCATGACTCTCTGGGGCTTGGTCCCCGCAGAGTCCCTGCAGGCCGTCACCTGGAAGCGCCTGGCTGCAAGCTGCTGTCCCCGTTGTTGTCTGCTCCTGCCCTCTGTTATTCCTCCCCTCAGCCTCAGTCTGTGCTGCAGCCAGGGAGCGCTCCCAGAGCTCCGAGCTGGCCCTGTGCCCTCCTGGCTCCAGTCTCGCAGTGGCTCTCCTCCAGTGCCTTCCATGATCTTTCATCTGGACAAGCAACTTCCTGTCGACCCCTCCCACTCACGACTCAACACTCTCTGACCCATGCCCACAGGCAAACCAAGTAGGGGCAATGATTAAAACAACACATGTTGTTCATGGAAGATGGAATTAAAAGATAAATTTATTTGGGTGCAAAAAATTTTGAAATTTGTACGCATATGGTCCTGTGGCATGGTGGGCTGAGTGGCCACCTGTGGTGCCGGCATCCCATATGGGCCCCGGTTCACGTCCCAGCTGCTCCTCTTCCTATCCAGCTCTCTGCTAATGGCCTGGGAAAGCAGTAGAGGATGGCCCAAGTGCTTGGGTCCTTGCTCCCACATGGGAGACCCAGAAGAAGCTCTGGCTCCTGGCTTCGAATCGGCTCAGTTCCAGCCATTGTGGCTATTTGGGGAGTGAACCAGCGGATGGAAGACCTTTCTCTATCTCTCCCTTTCTGTGTTTGTAACTCTGCCTCTCAAATAAATAAATAAAATCTTTTTAAAAATTTATTTTTATCTTTTTAAAAATTCAATTTCCAAGAACTTTTTGAAGAACCTTTGTATATACTTCTCCTATGTTCCAGGTACTTTGCTTATGTCAGCCATTCACAGTAACTCACAAGTAATTATCATTTCCCCCTTGTTCACTGGTGAGAAAACTGAGGATCTGAGAGGGTAAGGGCACCAGTGAAGGAATAGCTGAGAGAGGAGTCAAATCCAGAGGGCCAGGCCTCAGAGGCTCACTGCTAACCAGAAAGCCATGGCCCTGGGATTGAAAAACTCCCATTGTCAAACACGCTGACTTCTCATCTCCAAATCTCGGTGGAAGAAGGCCCCGCCTGGACACCCCTTCCAGCTGGCTCACCCTACTCATCTTTTACCTCCCCATTTTGACCGCCAAGACTGGGTGGGGAGCCCCTCTGGGTTCTTGCAACACAGGGATGCTCCCTGGAGTCCTGGCCAGTCAGTGAGGAATTGCTTTCTTATCATGCACCCCTCTGTGGCAGGAACACCTCACTCCTCTTGGAATGCCCAGCATTTGGCCTGCCACTGACTGTATGTAGAATGAGTGATCATAGTTCACCCAACCCCACACTTGTCAGGGTTGAGTGAATTCCTGGGATGGATCCATCTGCAGGATTTATTAAGCACCTGCTCTGTGCCCGGCCCTGAACCAAGCACTCCGGGGGAAACACAACGACTCTAAGGCTCAGTTGTGGCTTTCCTGGCAAGGCCTCTGCTGGGCAGCTGGAGGCTGGCACTGGGCAGTGATCTCTGCCGCCTGGATTTCATTTCAGATCCTCTACCATTTTCCTGACTGGCATCCAGCCTTTCTAGCCTCCAACCTCCCTGTCACCCCACTTTCTTCCACCTCTGTGATTAAGTCAGCTCAAAGCCAAGGACCTCAAGGAAGTTGAAGGTGTGTCCTGGAAGGAGAGAACTTGTTTTCTTCCACTGACATCAAGGGATTCCTCCACTTTGAGGGAGAGGAATAAAATAGGTGGGATCATAGCATGTCAGGGTGGACTGTGTCTTTAGAAATGATTTCATTCTTCTTCCCAACTACTTATTTATTTATTTATTTGAGAGGTAGAGTTATAGGCAGAGAAGGAGAGACAGAAAGAAAGGTCTCCATCTGCTGGGTCACTCCCCAAATGGCCGGAACTGAGCTGATATGAAGCCAGGAACCAGGAGCTTCTTCCAGGTCTCCCATGTGGGTGCAGGGGCCTAATCACTTGGGCCATCCTCTACTGCTTTCCCAGGCCATAGCAGAGAGCTGGATTGGAAGTAGTGAACCAGTGCCCATATGGGATGCCAGCTCTGCAGGAGGAGGCTTAACCTGCCTCACCACAGCACTGGCCCATCTTTTCCCCAGTTTTAAAGATGAGAATAAGCCCAGGGGCTTTCCACAAGTCCCTCAGAAATTGAGCCAAAACCAGAGCCCAGAGTCTCTTTGGGTTTGTTGGTCAGAGAAAGCTAAACAGCACGTTCTCTAGCTAAAACTCCTGTGCAGGTCCCCAAGCCTGTCTTCTCCCTGGGTCCCTCTGCTTCCGTGGTCCACGCAGTGCTTTTGGCCCATGGCCGGGGATGAACTTCCTCTCCGCTCTGTCACATTCTTGCCCGTACTCCTGTCCACTTACCACCCTCCTCCATCATTAAGCAAAGGAGAAGGAAAGAAGACCTCCCAACTTCCTATTCAACGAGAATGATTCCTGACGAATTGTGTTTGACTGCAGGCCCCGGGGATGAGTGTAAAACCTTCCCTCTCCCTGCTCCCACCCACCTGGAAGAGGGAGCTCTGGACGGCTGCAGCCTCTGGGCTCGCTTTGTTTTCCTCTCATTCTTTTATTAGCTGCCTAATTGGCAGTCCAATTAATCTGCTCATCTGTGAAGGAGGATGGATCACAATGAGCTAGTCCATTTCCAGAAGCCATTCTCTGAGGCAGCATGGCCAGGCCCTAAGTGCAGGCTGGCTCCTTGATGGAGGGCCGCCCCGGGAGCCGGGGTCAATTAGTGGACAGATTAAGCAATTATTAGCCCCTAACAAGGATGCCTGGCATCATTACCCTGCCTGTTTACTGGCAAACTGCAGCTTTAATATGAGGACCAACAAATAAATTAGGGCATCTGGTCCACCACCGCGTCAGCCGAGAAGTAAGTGATGTCCAACTGGCTCTCGGCTGCGGATGGAGTCTGAGCCTGGCCCTGTGAAAAGCTGAGCTGTCCCTCACTGTCACAGCCGCTTTGGAATGCGCTCTGGAGCCAGTTGTCATTCCGAGAGCTGAGTGCCTGCTGCCAGGCCTGTGAACCGATCTTTGTCACCCTGCTGCCTTCCTCCCGCCTGTCTACACCACCTGTCAGCGCCCAGCTCCGGGTCTGCTCCTGCCCCAAGCCTTTCCTGCTGTGCATTTGGGGAGGGTGTCACACCCTTCTATCAGCTTCTGGCCTTGCACTCATTTCATGGAACATTGTGAAGCCACTTTGCCCGTCTTTTTGCTGATCTCTGGTGGTGAAGTGGCCACACAGAGAAGAGGGGAGGGACCAGGGCTCAGAGATGGAGACAGACCATCACCAGAAAGACTTCAAGGTCGGGGTGACAGGGTCAGGTTCGTGCTCTAAGGAGAGCCTCTGGCAGCAGTGAAGAGGCCAGATGTGCAGATAGCTTGGATGGCCCAGACGCTTATGTTCCTGCCACCCACGTGGGAAACCTAGTTGAAGCTCCTGGCTTCTGGCTTCAGCCTGGTCCAGCTCTGGCTGTTGTGGGCGTTTGGGGGGATGAACCAGGGGATGATAGGTATCTCTCTCTCTCTCTCTCTCTCATTCTGTTTCTCCCTCTTTCCCTATCACTCTGCCTTTCAAATAAATGAATAAATGCTTGAAAAGAACATGTTTCTGTTGCATAGCATCTCTTATTCTGTCTTCAGTTGTCCTATCTCTTCCCATCTCAGTCTGTCAGAACTTACTGGGACCCCTGGGGCATAGCTCAAATGCCATCTTCTCTGCAAGCCCTCTCTGTTCTTTCCATCAGGAAATGCTCCCTCTCGCCTGCTTCTGGGATTTAATGTTGTGTCTTGAGCTGTCTGTCTCTCAAAAACTGAGCCCACTAGGTAGGGGCTGGTGTTGTGGCATACCATGTAAAGCTGCTGCCTGCAATGCCATCATCCCATGTGGACACTGGTTCGTGTCCCAGCTGTTCCAGTTCCAACCTAGCTCCCTACTAATGGGTTGGAAAAAGCAGTGGAAGATGGCTCAAGTGCCAGGGCTCCTGCTATCCAGGTGGGAGACCTAGATGTAGCTTTGGCCTGGTCTAACACTAGCCATTGTGGCCATCTGAGAAGTGAATCAGAGGTTGGAAGATTCTCTCTCTCTCTCTCTCTCACTCCCTCTCCCTCTCCCTCTCCCTCTTCCTCTCCCTCTCCCTCTCCCTCTCTGTAACTCTGACTTTCAAAATAAATAAATAATATTTAAAAAAAGATCCCCTGGGTACCACATAGCCTCTAGCTATATACTCTCAGTAGTTGATAGCAACGCAGGTCAAAAACCATCTACGGAGCTCTTAAAAACATTCCAAGTAGAGAAGAGAGTGCTGTGCTCCCCCTTCTTGAACTATTTGATGTTAACCCAGACATTCTCTCTCCCTAGGCATCATTGACTTCCTCATAAGCCAGCACCCTATTGCCCGTGTCCTGAGGCAACACCTGGTCTTCAAGATCGCACCAATGCTCAACCCGGATGGAGTCTACCTTGGCAATTACAGGTGAGACGGGAGGCTGCCCAGATGCTACCCAGCACAAGGTGGTAGTGTGCAAACAAGAACAAACAGAGCCTATGTTTTTGATAAAGAATTTTCAGACCACGCACGCATTCATAGAGGAAGTTTTGCCTGGTCCTTTAGAATGTGGGTAATGAGCCTTAGCTGTTTCATTCACAGCCACCTGAGGTCTGCTGGGAATTTCTGGACAGTTCACTGGACCAGGAAAGAGGAGACTTGGTGTTAGTTTTTGCATCTACTTCCTGTGTAGTCATGGGGGGATTCACTTGTCCTCTCTGATGCTTGCTTTCTCTTGCATAACGGAAACAGTAGCCACTTAACCTGGCAGAGCAGTTGCAAGCATCAGAAGAGATGGTGAGGAGGGTTGTGTTTTGTAGAATCTCATTGGTGGTTTTGAGGAGCACGGTTGCTTGGCTGATTCCTCCTGAAGATGGTTGATGAGGAGACTGCATCCCAGATCATCGGAACAGCATTCCCCCTTGGTGTTCGCATATCAGCTAGCCCCACGGCACCTGTGGCCCCAAACCTTGAATCTTTTTTCTCTGAGTTTAGCACCATAATTTACAGCCTAGAACCACTGCCCAGGGGATCATCTGCCAACAGATCGGCGAATGCTTTGAGAGAGAGGGTGTTGTTCACTGTTAAGGCAACTGACTTGCCTATAGTTGCACGCTAAAAAAATCATTGGATGTCTAACTTCACTGCCCAAATTCTACAGCTTCGGAGCTGATTAAACCACAACTTTTAAGATGACATTTGAGCACCCAGCTTTGCATGCAATGCTTTGTAAGATCTGGTGCCTATCTGCCTACCTCTCACCCTCCACCTCCTAGAACTGATGCTCTAGCTACTCTGAGTGCAGCCTCGTGTGCCAGGCAGGTCCTGTTGGTTCTTGCTACCTCACCTTCATGCAGGTGGCTCCCTGCCAGGAACCTTCTCATCACTTCTTCATCTCATCAATCCCTTTGCAACTCAGCTCATGTCCCCTTTTCTGGAAAACACTTCTCCCAAACCCCAGGGAGAACTGGCCACTGTCTTCTTTGAGCTCCCATAGGCCTGGTTATTGAACAAGTCTTATCCCACCGCATGGACCTCACCTGACTTCAAGCTTCGGAGGGCAGGGGCTTGATCCTTAATGGTCTCTGTGTCCCCAATACCTAGTACAGGAGTCAGCACATAGTAGATGCTCAAAAAATATTGGATAAATATGAGTAGATGAGAGAAATGATTTCTTGGGTGAAGAAACTGGAGCCCAGGGGTAAGATGGGACTTGCCCGCAGTCCGTGGCTGAGCTCAAAGCAGAGAAGATCTGATTCCTGGCCAGCCCCATTTTATAGAGTTGGTTTATCACTTTCCAAAAGCCTGGCAGTTGGGTCTGTCAAGGCTCCCTGGTGCCTCTGGGATGAGTTAGAGAGCGCCCATGGGATGCAGGACGCCTTCGTTAAAGACAGTTCTGCTGCCTCACTTAATTGGCTAAGAGACGGCTCATTTGCATCTGCAGGTTTATGGCTTGATGCAGGAGTGCCTGTTCACCATCCCAGGCAGACGCACTGTTCCTGATGATGGGGTGGGAAGGCCGTTTGATTGATGTTAGCACGTCTGCTTCATTAACAGGAGTGGCAGTGGTCAGAGAGGTCAGGGCCGCCACTCCACATACTTCTGCTGTCCAGGGAAGCATCAGCTGGGAAGTCTGTGACCTTGGCCAAAATGCCTCCCTTCTCTGGGCTTCAGCAGGGTGGTGATGGAGGACTAGATGCATTCTACATATCTGCAAGCTCCAGATCTCGTGGTTTTTTTTTTAAAAAAAAGATTTTATTTATTTATTTGAAAGTCAGAGAGTTACACAGAGAGAAGAGAGGCAGAGAGAGAAAAAGAGGTCTTCCATCCGATGGTTCACTCCCCAATTGGCCACAATGGCCGGAGCTGTGCTGATGCGAAGCCAGGAGCCAGGAGCTTCTTCTGGGTCTCCCACGTGGGTACAGGGGCCCAAAGACTTGGGCCATTTTCTACTGATTTCCCAGGCCACAGCAGAGAGCTGGTTCGGAAGAGGAGCAACCGGGACTGGAACCCGCGCCCATATGGGATGCCGGTGCTTCAGGCCAGGGCGTTAATCCACTGCGCCACAGTGCTGGCTCCAAGATCTCGTGTTTTGAGAACCTCAGGATAAAAGAGCTCTTCAGAGGTGATTTCATACTGGAGTCGTACTGCCCTCCCCCCGCATCCCCCTAGTGAGAGAGCATATGTGGATCTCGCTCATTGTGAGAGTTGGAGAGAATCTCTAACCACAGGCAATAATCCTGTGGTTAACACAGGTCAGAGGAGCAGCAAAGAACCTATAAATCATGAGGATTCAGTACTTAAAGGGTGAAAAATGGCACTAAAGGCTCAGAGCTGAGAGCTTCAAGGTGCCTTAGAGGTCCTCAAGGTCAGCCCCTCCCAGAGCCACACTGCCTTCCACAGCACGGCCTGCATGGCTTGGTGGGCCCTGCCAAGCCTTTATGGGGTGGGGGTAGGGGGGAGTTCAGAGTTCAAGTGTGTTTGAGAAGTGCGCAGTTAACAAACTTGAACATGTCCCTTTTACAATAAGACTTCAGAAGTTTGAATATGCTAGAATTTACTAGCAAATTCTTGAGATATAGTCGGGAATCTCAAGAAGGGAACGCAGCACTTTGTTTCCTACAGGTGAGTATCATGGTGCACACCCTGCATGGCCAGTGTTAGGGTGCATGAAACACATTTTGGGAAATGCATCGCCAAGAACTCTGCCCGCTGACCCAGCGGCCTGACAAGCACTCATACACTCACCCCGTTTAATCCTCACAACTCTGTGAGGGAGGGTCTAAGTTAGGTCTTTCTGCTTGCAGATCAGAGCATCTACTCAACTAGCTTGGGAACGGGAGGAGAGAGAGTAGGAGAGAGCTAGGGGAGGGAGGGAGGGAGGGGAAGCTGAGAGCTCTGGGGTGTTAGACAGAGCCAGGCCTCACAGGACCTGGCGGAATCACTGGGAACAGCATGTGTGCGGGCAGCCACGCCTCTGCCTCTCCCCCAATCCCTGACTTCCGTTCTCTCAGCATCTCCCTTCAGACCTGCAGTTACTTACGTCTCAGAGAAGTTCAAAATCTGCCCTAGGTTCACGGCCTGTGAGGAGCTGGCAGGGATGTAGGTCTGTCTGGGCTAGCCTGAGCCCTTCCCCGGCAAACTGCACTCCCCCAACAGCCAGCACCAGGTAGACCAGGCTCTGGGAGCAGAACGAAGACAGGCCTGCCCCAGGCGTCTGGCTGGGCTGGGGGAGATGGTTCAGCAGACCAGACAGGAGGAACTGTAGAGAGGGAGTGCACATCAGTGGTGAGACCATGGCCTTGGGGGTCAGGTCAGATTTCAGGTCCTGCTCTGCCACCTACTTGCTGTATGACCTTGAGTAAATCACACAGCCCCACTGTGCTTCATTTTTCTCACCTGCAAATGGGGACGCTGTAAAGGGTTACCAGGCTTTTGTAAGATAACGCACACTGTAAGTTCTGCATAAGGATGTGCTCCTGCTTCTTCCGCATTCAAAAAGCTTGTATTTCCACGTAGGAAGGCTACTCAGGAGATGCCCCAGCTGTCATCAGATAAGCTCATAATAATAAGATTTGCACCTATGCTCTGGTATTCATAGTAATACAGGAACGGTACACTGTAGCATTTAGCAGCAATCGATGGCCACTGTACCATGACAGATAACCCTCTTTATGCTAAAGAGTAGCAACACTTATTAACCAGGCTACTGTATATGGTATTTGGCTGTAGTTGTGGCAAGGGCACACAAGGCCTATAGTATAGTTTATAGCAATGATATGTAGCAACTCGAGTACCTTCTACTGTAGCTATCTATCACCATCCTAGCTACCAGATGATATAACAGCAGATAACAATTTTTACATTATTGTGTGTAAGAAAGACACACAGCAACAGTAGCCCTACTGTCCATGGTGCCCCAGCTACGTTTGCCTTTCTTCCCCTTCAGGTCTTAGGTTTAAAGCCACTTCAACAAAGGCCTTCTCAGACTCTGCAGTCAGTCCCCACTACACTCCTTTGGGGCACCCTGCACTGTGCTTTCACGGCCTTTGGCCTAATTTCTAGTCCTGTCTTCATTCATATAAATATTTAGCATGTGTCTCCACCTTTAGACTGTAAATCCCATGAAGCCAGAACTTGGTCGACCTTGTTCTCTGATCCCTAGTGCCTGTCACGGTGCCTGGCAGGGAATGAGCCCTTGATGGATATTTTCTGAATGAATGGATGAACTCAGCAGCAGTGTTCAGTGAGTGTGCTGTAGCTCAGAGCTACAACCCCCCGTGCAGAGGAACAGTCACCAGATCCTGCCAGCCCCCAACCCTAAGCCTGGCCCTGTGTGGCTTGCTCACCTCAGCTGTGGTAGTCACCTGTCGCTGTGCCATCAATCTGATATGATTTGACAGGCTCTGGGTCCTCAGCCACACCTTGTCACTGCACATACGTTTAAAAGCACTTAAAAACCACATCGGATCATCGAACAGCCCTGTAAGAAAAGAAAGCCAGTTTCTATTAAATCCATTTGTGCAAAAGGGAAACAGACTGAGGCGAGGAGCCGGGTTCAATGCCACAGGATGCAACCCAGTGACTACACACTCCCGGATACTGCCTTTGCTTTCCAAGCTGTGGGTGGACGCAGAGAACTGGGGACTCACTCTCCCCACACCCTCCTGAGCCTTCTTGTTTGTCCATGGGCAAAACACTTTCCTCCCCTAGCCTCGGTTCCTCCTGCCCTCTTCAAAGAGGAACGTGGGGTGGGAAGACACGACTCATCCTTTAGTGGAAGCTCTGGGGAGAGGCACTGTCAGGAGCCGTTTGGCGACAATGCCAATGCAGCTCGAGGACGTTACACTTGGAGAGATGAGCCACAGCAGAAGGCAAACACCGTATGAGGCCACGTATATGAGGTCCCTAAAGTTGTCAGAGTCCTG